TCCCCCATTAAATCCCGTATTTATTAAAACTTTGTCCTAACAAGCTCGCACGTGGTCCATTCCCGAGTTAAAGGGATTTCCCTGACTCGAAATTCGGACCGACGATCGTACCGCTCGTAGGAAACAGGTGTCATAACGTTTTTACGAGACGTTGATCCATATTTAGAAGCGAGCAATAAAAAGGGTGCGTTCGACTCGCAGTATTTGCTTCCGGGCGGACACCTGCGAGACAAGAGTCTGACCGTCCTTCCACACTCCATCCTTCTCTCTTTAAATCCATTTTCCTGAGTTTGGACGTAACACAAGATTAGTAATTTTAAAGTATCCATAAGACATGAAAAAAAAACGTCAGCTCAAAGGACAGAGAAGAACAGAGATTTCCGTAGTACTTTCCAAGTACTGGCAGAAAATCATGAATTACTTTGTCGGTGGTGCAGAGCAGAAACAGACAAACTTATGTATGCATACAACAAATCAAACTAACTAAGATTCCTTATAAATCACAGAATTGGAAAGGATACAAGCAGTAGGAGTCAAGCGCAAAAGACGTCGCGCAAATAATATATATTATAGGCTGCTGGAAAAGTTTCTGTAATCTAGTACTTCTAGTGGCGCCAACGTTCTGCTACTATCATATCCGTAAAATTAGACGTTTTTAATCTTTACTTTAATTGACAGTTTGTACCCAAGCCAACTAGTTTTGTTTGCATAGTATTTTAAAAAAAGTTGTGTCAGAATCTCTCAAAACATACATAGAGAGCAAACTCAAAACTAAAAAATTTATTCTCAGCAACGGCAGTATCGCCACTTCAAAAACAACTAACGTGTGGGGTAAATCAATTTTAACCAATAAACAAATGGATATAACACAAATGAAATATATAGTTAGAGTTAGGTAGGTTGTGTTCCAAAATTCACTGCCAGCGCTGAAAAACTACAGTTTACGTTACGTATACTATACATTTTCAATACTGGCAGTGAAGTTCAAAACACAGTGTAAATAACAAAGTTAATACCACTTGGGTATTATAAGATGCGTTACATATCATTTAGTAAAGAGAGTAAGTCGAAATAATTGAGTTTACTTTTTAATTTGTAATATTTACGTTTTATCGTATCTTTGAAGTGCACACATTCTTAGCGCCTTCTTTACCTTTTTTTTAAAAAGGTGAGAGAGAGAGAGAGTTTGTATATAATTAAAGTTACTATTACTTTTAAGTATCACAACGCTAGTCACAACCTGTATTCAATGGAAACATTTTAATAATTTATCGCTTATTGTAAATGCGCTGCAGTTATGTTACAAAACTTATAACATCTTATCTTTTACTGATATATCCGAGATTACTGTCTGATGACTTACAAAATAATTGTTGAACTATTGTAAGGATTGTTTGTCTTAACTATTCAATTAAAATTAAAAATGTATTCTGAGATATTAAACAATTTTTCTATCATTCTCTTCTACTTTGCGCCTTATCAATTAACTGAATTGGTTCAACAGAATGTTCGAAAAGACAT